GTTTGTAAGTAACGAGCATAAAACCAAATTTCTCTCCTTTCTGAAAACCATTCTGGTCCCTAGTTATGCTGTACTGTTCTTGGGTCCTTTGGCCTATTTGGCTCAATTTCGATACCAATCTGCGTACAAGAACATTGTGCGTCTTTGCGCCAAATTTGAAGTGAATTTCCGCATTTTTGTGGTCAGGAGAATGTTTATCATAGACGACTGACAGACGGACACTTTCACTGGTTTTATCGAAACAGTTTTAATACGCAAAAATTCCCAACATTTTTCTACAAGATACAAAGGTATATTAAGTTTCTGCAGATGTATGCAACAGGTAGAATGACTTGAGTTAGGCCCTTCTTTTATTATACCGATAAATTCAGGTCAGTTTGGTCCGTCTGTCCGTTCATCAATTTTGTTTTCTTGTGTTTAACTCATAGACTACAATTTTTGAGATATTTTGGTGAAACTCGATCCACTGACATCTTTTGGCTGAAGGACGAGTGCTATTCAAAATAGTTCTGATCTGACCACCTTTTCGACCAATTTCCTTACAACATCTTCTTGTGAAAAGTCCTTACATTCATAAGTGTATTAAACAAATTGATGCAAGTTATTTAATGAAACGTCGTGGTCCACTATAATGTTTTTGCTTGTTGCTATCTTCAAATTTTATTTCCAAATAACAATTGCTTAATCTTCCACATTCAATTTTCCTGATTTTAAGAATTTTAAAAAAGCGGTTGGATAGATCGAGAATGAATTCGACAATTTTACAAAATTCGAATCGATAGCATATGCATATGTAGTAGATGTAGTGTATAATTTTTGATATCGACCCTTGTATGCTACATGCTCATACACTGCCATCTTTCGGCGGAGGATGTATAGATTTTTCGAAATATTTGCCGTTAGTTACAAACTTTGCATTATCTTAGCAGATAAAATGTTGTCACGGAAACTAATAGCAACGTAGGTCGTAAAACTTTCTTTATATAAATCATTCTTAATATAACATAATTATATTATTTATTTATTTATATTTTTTGGTTTGTCAACAGTAAAGTAAAATATATGTATATATGTATATACTAAGACTAATTTTACATGCACACCAACGGTGAAAATTGCGCTCAGTAATTAAACAACTGGAGTAAGGGCATAATTGAAATATATAACTAAATATAAAAAACGGACATTTTTATTGAAACGATGATGTTGATGAAAATTATAATAGCTGCGGTGATGATGATGAAGACAATGATAATGATAATGATGATAATGATGATGATGGTGAGGAGAGCTTATCGGCATATGTTTGTTTTGCTTAATAATTGTTGTGATAACCGTCAAGTAAAGTCTAGATTATCTAGAGGGCATATTATATTACAAAAAACAACAAAAATAACAACAAAAATAACAACAACAATAACAACAACAAATGCGAAACGTTTTCCTTTATAAAGAAAAATATGGAAAGAAACTGAAAAAGTTAAACAAAATATATATATATTTTTGTTTAATTTAGTAAATATTTCAAAATTTAATAAAATTATTAAATAGTTCAAGGTCTACGAAGCAGCTGTACTTTCACTGCATTTTATATCTATACTACGAAATATATTAATTTATCGTTCCATATGTAACAACAATATTCACACGAATATTCTTCATCAGCACGATGTGAGAGAGGGCAGGAGAAAGCGAAAGAGCGAGAAGAAAAAGCCCCTAACGAATCTCGGCCGTAAGGCTTTCAATCCATTCTCAAACCAGTCGTAACAATTCAGATTAAAAATGCTTCTCATACATAGTTGTATCTTATACCACTTGTGGCCTAAGGGCATATCAACCTTTTGCGGATGTATACAACGCCCAGAAGAACTTGAGATAGACCCGTCTGTTATTACATTCAGAAAGCGATTCCGAACCGATCTAAGCTTTTCTCTCTATCTGTTGTCCGTTTGAAGTCTGTCTCTACTTTTTTGCGTCGAACCTATTGGTCGCAATTTTTGAGGTATTTTGATAATATTTGATACATCATCGTGTTTTGGCCCAACGGCGAACGTTATTGAAAATGATTCGGTTCAAACCAGTTTTTCTACCATTTCTCACATAACGCTTTGTATTGAAAATTCGTTCTACTCATAGTCGTAAAAGAATAAGTGGTATAGGGTTTTCAATGGTTGGCCATGGCCCACCATAATGTTCTTATTTGTTTCTTAATAAAAGTTAAATTTAAAAAAAAAAAAAAAGAAGATATTATGTTATGTATACATTACATACAAACAAGTCTTCAAAATGAAAGATGATCGCAAGAAAAATAAATACTTCTATGCACCCACCACCGACGAATAAGGTTATGTTCGTTTTTTCAAAACTTTTGCAGCGCTCAAGCAAACTTCAGATATCCAATAAAGTTTATATATATATTCATGATCAGCATGAAAGTCTGAACCGATTTAAGCGTGTCAATCTCTTCTTTCCTATGTCTGTGGTGAAAATTGTTTGGGTGGCAAAAATGCATCAGTTTGCTTTAAATTTGGCAGAAACATTGGAAGTTCCAGCACGCAGGTTGGAAGGGAAAATGACCCGAAGCGATCAAAGGACATGCCCATAGCATTAGATAAGAACACTTTTTCACTCAGAAACTGCAACAATAAGTATTTGCCTATTCGATGGTAATAGAAAGCTAGTAGGTTTACAAGATTCCGTCCATTTTATATAAAATTTTAATGAAGGTGATGGACATCAAAGGATTCTGCTCAAAGGAAATGTAACTTCTATAAAAAGTGTTATGATTTGGTTCTGAATACAAACATTCTCTCCATAAGCATGAAATTGTGAGCTGAAAATTATGAGCACTGACCACTTATCCGTTTGTCTATGCTTCTAGACTTGATCATAGTCCTAAGTAGTCTTAAAAGTATAGAGAGAAAGTAGAAGATTAGCAGACATATTGTGGAACCGCAAATGAATTTGGTGATCGACCTAAGTAAATAAGCAAATAAAAGTCTTTGACAGAGAATTTTCGTTAAAAGTTTGGTAAAAACTTTTTTAAGAGACCCTTTATAGAAACAAGATCGATTTGTGATTTTTTATAAATTGTAATCTACAATGATTGTAGTTCTTTAGAGGACGAAAATGACAAACTAGAAAGCTTTGTTTACGTTTAGCTTGTCTTAAGTCAATCATTTTTAGTCATTATCATGAGCGATTGAACCTCGGAACATAACATATTAGTTTGGGGAAAAAGAAATCCATTATTTTTTCGGTAGATGACTGCACTGGTAGATTTCTCGTAAAGTATCGATCAAACAATTCCATATTTATGCTCGTTGGAAAGGTGACATTTCGCAGTAAAAAAATTCTTTTGCCGTTTTTTGTTTGGTGCATTCAGTTGTGAGTTACAGCGTGTTAAAAATGGAAGTGAACAAAGAGAAAATTCGGTATATTTTACAGTTTTTCTTTGACAAAGGCGAAAATGCAAGCCAGGCGGCTAAAATTGTGAATGGTGTTTATGGTTCCGATACTGTAACAGCCAATTATGTGCAATTTTGGTTTCGTAGATTCCGTTCAGGAATTTTCGATGTTAAAGATGCACCTCGCAAAGGTAGGCCGGTCGTCGAGAATGTCGATAAAATCGGAGAAATGATCGAAGTTCCATACGGCCAAACGCTAAATTCTGATCTCTACTGTCAACAACTGGACCGTTTGAAGATAGCGATTGACCAGAAACGGCCAGAATGGGCCAACAGGAGAGGTGTCGTGTTCCACCAGGACAACGCTAGGCCACACACATCTACAGTGACTCGCCAGAAACTTTGGGAGCTTGGTTGGGAAGTTTTAATGCATCCGCCATACAGTCCGGACTTGGCACCAAGCGATTATCATCTTTTTCTTGCATTGCAAAATTTCTTTAATGATAGAAAATTGGAATCTAGGGAGGATTGTGAAAATCGACTACTAGGGTTTTTTGCAAATAGAGACCAGGACTTCTATGAGAGAGGCATTTTGAAGTTACCTTTAAAATGGCAACAAATCGTACAACAAAACGGTGCATATTTGACCCAAATCGGACAATCCGGAGCATGTTAAATAAAGTCCTGAAGTTCATATAAAAAGAATGGATTTCTTTTTCCCCAAACTAATATAATATTTATTCAAGATTTTCTCCATCTTAATTTAAAGTGTTAGCAGATAACTACCGGATGAAACATATCTCTTAGGGTAATACATTGATACATAACTTTCTGTAATCTGTATATATATGTATATATATATAGTTTTTTAGTCAGATTCGACTTTATTCGTCAAAGTGCGGACGTATGTAACACCCAGAAGCGCTTAAGATAGCCCCACATTTTATTAAGCCAATCGATTCAGAAAATGATTCTGATTCCAAGCCTGTCTGTCCATCTTTTCGTATGATCATCTTTTATCTGTCTATGTCAATTTGTGTTCAACCTATAGATTGCAATTTTTAAAATATTTTGATGAAATTTGGTGCACAGAGGTGCATCTATATATTAGTCCCGAAAATTATTGATCGCCATCTCATTATGGGTCGTAAACAAAGTGATTGAAATGAGATGATGATATTTTGGCAGACATCGTGCGAGGAAGATATCAAAGGGGCACATGTATGTTAGTCCCGAAACTTAATGATCGATGTCTCGCTATGTGGCGTAAAGTGATGATGGACAACCAAGCTTTCTTTCCTTTCATAAATGTTAACTAAACGTCAACACGCTATTTGGTATTATGCATTATTTAAATCAATATTAAATAAACAAGAATTGATTATTTAAAAAGATTTTTATCATGTCGTTAACACCTTTTAAAAGCCTTTTCTCTTCATGCTTTAGTTGAATTTAACACATTTTTTTTTTTTTTTTTGGAAACTATTGTTTGGAACCATTTTCTACGATTTTTTCAAATCTTCATAATCAATAACATTTTAAAATTTTAAAACTTTAAAAATTTCTTGTACAATTGATTTATTCATCACTTACCGCAGGTTAACTTTTCACGTTTATATTTCTCTTTTTCGGTGTTATGCTGTTGTTGATGCTGCGTGTGATGATGATGCTGATGCTGCGTTAGTTTATTCATTAACTCATCAGTATGATGCTGGCTTATAGAGTTTTCCCCATGATTGCTGCCAATGTCGAGTGAATCCCAATCCATTCGTCTTTTACGTGAGCTGTTGTTCGTGTAAATCGTTTGAACATTTATTATTTGTGGTCCTGGTGATCCCTTCGATTGATCGTCTATTAAAAATACAAACGTAAATGACATGATAGTTCCTTTCAGCTTAATTTTCGATAATGAAAAGAAAAGGTGAACGATGGAAGAGTATCGTACCTGGCCAGGATTCCTCAGAATTCGGTGGTGAATCAACAAATGTCAACACTTGTTCATAATCAGTAGTGAGATGCGAATGAAATCCATTCATTAAATTACGATTCGTGTAATTTGTATGCTGCTCGAAAAGAGAGGTAATTAAAAAGTAAAGGAAAAATTATTACAAAATATTAATAAAAAGATTTAAAATATATATATGTTTAAGGCAGAGTGAATTCAACAAATGAGATTTTTATTTAATTATTTTTATTTTTTATTTTTTATTTTTTTTTTTTTTGTTAAGCTTTTTGTCTATTAATAGTCTTAATAATTTTTCTCATTTATGATTTTGTTTAATCCACTACGTATGTAGTTCAACGCTGTATTCCGAACTCAGACCGTAAACTGAAAACTTTCCGTCTCTCTCTGTCTTATCATCGTGAATGCGTCCTATGCGTTTAAGCAACCAAATCATCCTGATAAGCATTTTCAATATTTTCTATTTTGCTTTGTATTTATGCTATATATGTACATACATACATACAAACAAATATATGTATATATGTATATGTGTATATATACTAAAAAAATTTTTTTTTTGTTTTTTTTTTTTAAATAAACCGAATGACTGATCATTTAGTTCTAATCAGTATAAAACAGTAAACTTTCATCACAAATTCATTAATCATATACAGTTATTGAGCCAGTTATATATAGAGTACCTTCCAAGTGTGCACTTATTATCAAATAATTGTAAAAGCAAAACATTTCAAAGTTTCTTTTTAAATGTAAACAAATCAAGTATTTGTCGACGTTAAGCTTCAAGTGTCGATTAAATATTAACTAAAACTCTTCGAAAACCCCATAAGATAGCTTCCTATACAATTGCTGACGAGTTACAGTTCAATACTAAACACTTTGCTTCTTATATCCTTCACCTAGGGATGACAGGAATTCTATTAAATTAATTCTTTCGTTTGTACTTCGTTTCACACCAACAAATTGTCGACTTAATAATCTATAATGATGATTAAGATTTACCCATACCTATTTGCCTGTCCGTTCGTCTAGCATTTGTTGTAGAAAACTGACCTTTAACCTTTAACATAATTGAGGGAAACACTTTGCGGCACAACAGATATCTTCAAAGTCACCTAATTTTCACAACGCTAAGCCTATTAGGCCACACTATGGCGCGTGTAAAAGAAGATAATCCACAGATAATTAAAGGAAAAAAGAAGCATTATAGCGTTTTTGAAATCAATCGAAAGTGATTGAGTTTTGGAAAAAAGGCGAAAAATCTGTAAAACTATGATTATATTGAACTCGACTGTTACTTGTTTAGTTGAGTTTCTAGTATAAGTGGAATAAAATAAATAAATAAATAAATATTACACTATCGCATCGATCATCGATTACCCAATTCTTCACGGGCTTGTGAACAAGTCCTAGTTTTCTTGGTTCAGATACTCTCTCAATAGCAGCAGTACCGAAATGAATGGGAAATTTCGCTGTTAAAGAAATTGCGGCGCAATTTGGTCGATGAGATTCTTCAAGAAGACTGGAAAAGCCCGGCATATTTCATCTTCTTGCCTCGCAACAAAGTTAATTATTAACTCACTATTAAACAATTTGGGAAATACTACGTACATGAAGAAGTCGGCGATTTGAGGGCCATATGGAGAAGAGTTATGGGCAGTAATGTCTGAAAAGTCTTGTTTGGACTTACAAACAAATCACCCATCGCGACTTACTCCATCGATTTCCATTGTTGAGAACCTAACTCAAATCGATTAAAGCGCGCAATTGAGGCAAAACGTCCAGACGGCAGTCGCACAGGGCTCAGATCTTTAATAATTACTCCGCAGAACTCTCTTGATGATGTGAAGGAGACGGTAAAAGAAATCTGTGAAAATCACTTGCTTCAGTTCTTCTCCGAGGAATCGATTATTTCCTATAATGATGACATGATGGTTTAACCAAAAAAATAATAGAAGGCTATCGTCCTAAAAGGAACCTGTTTGATTCATACAAAATGTAACAAAAATGTGTTGGGTTTTCATCAGCTGGCCGTCGCGACCTGCACTCGAAGCGGAAGTGCACTCGAATTCTGCCGGAAAAGTTAAGTATATGAACACACGACGAGTATACTTACAAGAGATTGTCATTTCTCCATGACAAGTATAGGGAAGAAGGAACTCCACGAAATTGTTTCGTACGAAATATTTTGGAAATTTGAGGGTATTAGCTTGTGAGGAACCAAGCTATCGACGTTTTAGTCTAAAGTGAGTAGAAAGTTTCGATTTGAGCCTACTTTCCTAACCACTTCCTATTACACGAAGTACGCTAGTGATGATTTTAACGTGAGATTTGAGATTTATTTATGTATACATATATATACAACTACGCAAAATTGTAAAGGATTCCTACGCAGTTTATAGCTGCTAAGCAGTGAGACGAACCCCCATCTCAGACGTGTGGATGTTCCGATTTTAAAAAATGAAGGGCGGAGAAAATCCTTCACACTCCTAGATCAATGGGAAAATTCGCCTTTGTTAAGAACAACTTATATTTCAATGTCTGCCTCTCGTGGCAGGAGATAAAGAGAATAAGTGTTTTCGCTTACGCTGCACCCCACAACTAAAACTGTTGTACAACATTCACTTTAAAATGAAGTTTATTTCACAAATATATTGGACCAGTGAGTTAAATATGATAAATAAATTTTCCCCCTTATTGTTCTTCCCTTTCAAGAAAGCTATTGACAGCAGCACTTAACCAAATTATCGAAGCACTTTTTATAAACAAGTTCCGGTATCCTTTTTGGAAGACTCTAATATGAATTCTAAGAAAAATAAGAGATCATGCGATGCCTACGTTTATTGAACATAATCTTTTAAAATTATCATAAATTTTTTACAATCAATCCATTTCATGTTTATTAAAGCGAGGAGAAGAGATTCATAAAAGACTTTAAATAGCCACTCGTGAACGTAGATGTCAATGTCTTGCTTGTCGAACGAAGTTGGCTATCAGGAGAAGACAATCTTCGGCACTTCTTCGGCTACTTCATTGTCTCATGTTCGCGATTTGTAGCACACGCCCACGGTTCGCTAACATTTTGAATGGTACATTAATAATATGATCAACATTAGTGGTTTTTCCGAAACCTCAATATTTGTTACAAACAAACAAACGTTTATTTATTTTTTTTTTTACTTACTTCATAAAAAAGATCATAAAGCGATATAGAACACTACTCGAAGAAGCTGACTGACCGGTTCAGACCCCGTCATTACAGTGAGATTTTAAACGGAAAGTAGACGCATAGGTTGACGTTGGATGTGACACGGCGTCAGCTTACACAGCTAAGAAAATTACACATGTATCAATGAAATACGAAGGGATACGGAGGGAAGATACATCATTACAAGAAATTTGATGGTTTGATTGAACTTAAGACTGAGGGTTAAAATCATTTTCTCAAAGCCTTTGCAAAGGCCGTAAGGTGGCTTCAGAGACCCCACATGTTACACACATTCTTGATCAGTATCAAATTCTAAATTATATAAACATTTCCGTCCGTCCGTCCGTCCGTCCAACCGCTAACGTTGGAAAATTTGGCAGAAACATTGGCAGATCTTGCACGTAGGTGGGCCAAATCGGTCGAAGGATGCGCCTACGGTACCACCAGGGAAATCATAAATCGTCTTCCTGCTCATCACTCATAAACTACAGCAGATAAGTCTACAACAGTTTCAAATTTGGAGTACATTTAAACATGTCCCTCTTTTCGTCTGCCCAATTTGTGGTAAACACTCCCACCCCTAACGGAAATGAAGATATCGCCTACAAATTTGCAAAACAATTTGAAAGTGACTTCAACTTCTCCAAGGACATGCCTACATCGCCCACACAATTATGTGACAAAAGCTTTTACTTTGAAAATAGAATAATATCATCCGCTCTATCATCCATACTAGAGAGTATAAAAATTTAGTTCTTTTACTTTTCATGTCTTTTGTAATCTAACGATCGTAAAAGATTCGGTCATGGCCGAGTATGATTTTCTTATTTGTTGTTTTTCTTTTTTTCTTAAAATTTTTCTAAAACTCTTTTTTTCTTACACAAATGTCTGTTTCTTTTACTAAAATAAACCCAAAGTAAAAAACTCTAACTGCATAAGTGCTGCACATGTCGACAATATGGTTAAAAAAAACAAAGTATGATATTGTTTTTAAAGTAAAGAAAAATGATAATTAAATATTTTCACATTTGACTATTGGGAGTTGTTGACATCAATAGCGTTTCAGTCACGTTTGACTGAGGTTTAACCAACAAAAACGCTAAGTAGGCTACAGTTCACTATTAATTGCCCTACACCGGCCTTACATTTGTTCATACAGCGGCTTTTCAAAATAATTATTACCTGGGAAGTGATTAAAAAACTGGTCCAATCAGAGCGATTTTTAATATCCTTCTTTTCGGGAATCACAACAAGTCATTGTATCATTGTTTGTTCCGTCAAAACATCTGAGAAATTATGGCCTGTAGGTTGAACATATGGAGAAAAGATGAATAGACGGACAGGCACATTCAAGGTCAAATCAGAAAATGATTCTCAATCGAGCGGTATCATAAAAGGTGGGTCTATCTCAAATGCTTCTGAATCTTGTTTACTTAATGTAGCCTTGTACCGCAAGTGGTGTAAACTATAAAAAGAATATTTGCCAATTAAGCTGTTAATCCTGGCAATAGATAGGAATGATTAGGAACCGATTTGAAAAGAAGAATAAGTGACTCTCTATGTAAAAAATTAAAATAGATAAAACTGTTATCATATATAAACGTGAAAAGTCCACAGGGCACACGTTAGACTGACTATGTTTTGAAAATTCTTTAATGCCTGGACGTAGACTTTAATAAATATGTTTAAAGGGTGTGAAGATAAATTCGAATTTAACTAGCAAGGACACCTACCACATCTCGTAACAGAGCTCTGTTAGGACGTTTACAGATATTTAAAATTAACATATACTTGGCTTTGAAAGCCTACTCCGCCCATGTTAAGAAACGTAAACCCTTTTTGGGGACTCTCACCGCCAATCTATATGAAAATCCCTTTCAAATAAGGTAAACAAATTCAAATTCTGCTTATGGGAACTATTTTTAACAATTTTTTGCAATTCGGTATGAGAAGACCCCCCAACTTGAAACTACAGTGCGACCAAGCTAGAAAATGTCACCTATATTCGCGTATATCACGTGAATTGATTTGGCTTGTTTGAAAGGTATCTTCACATAGATTCATGAGGTGTCCACAAAAATATTTTTCATTTTTTAATATGGACGGAGTAGACTTTCAAATCCAACTGTATTTGAATTTTAAATATTTAACAGAGCTCTGTTAAGTGATATGGGTTGTGTCTTTGCTGATTAAATTCAAGTTTATCTTCGCACCATTATATATTTTTATACCCATCGTCGAAGTATCGAGTATCAAATGCTGAATCGATTTAAACGCCTCCCTCTGTTTGTCTGTGTATTCTCTGTAGAAAACCCTCTCCTGACCGCCAAAATGAAGGTATCGACTTAAAATTTGGCAGAGATATTGAGAATTCTTGCACGCAGGTTGCTATTGAAAATCGGCCAAATTTCCTTCGAAGAGCATGCCCACAGTACCACAGTAAACGGAGGACAGCTCCGTTTTCCAAAAGGATTTCAAAATTTATTTTTTACTCTTTACACATAAACTATGCATATTCTATGGACGATGCTGTAGTAGCTGTACAAAAATGGAACAAATTAACCTCGCCTACCCAATATAATAGTGTATTGAAATTTAATTTTTTTCCATACCTCCATACCTTGTAGAAACGAACTTCAAAAACCCTTTAAAGCTTACAAATTCTAGGCCGAGCTCAAATTTGGAATGCACCTAAATACGTCCGTCTACTCGTCCATTTGTCCGTCTGCCCAACTATGTGGTGTCGCCTACAAATTTGTAAAAGAAGAAGAAATGACCTGTGCTTTTCGAAGGACACGCCTACAATGCCCAAATGACTATGGCCTTTACTTTGAAAATAGAAAAAGTCAGCCGAGCCTTCTCATTATTATAGATTATAAAAACTTAATGTTTTATAACAATAATGATTAACAATCTGTGAAAGAGAACAGACGAATAATTCAATCAGTAGACTACATACTAGCCCACGCTCCTTGTTTTTGTGCTTTTTTAGGAACAGGATTGTATTGCACAACGATATGAACGAGTCTGTCTGAACGAGCAGTTTTTGTAATAAATAACTCGCTTAGTTTATGTACTTTCTTAGATACGGCACAAGCCATTAACTGAATGATATCAAAATCTTGCGCTTAATGGCAAACAAAAATTGATCGTGAAACAAAGTTTATGCGTAGGAAAACTATGAGAACTTGAATCCATATGGTATTCCTATGATGGGTATTTCAAGTTAATTTTCTTCATCTAATCGGACGATACAATGAAGAAGAGGAATAGAAGTTACGAAGACGAAACAATTAACTGAGAGCATCGATAGCTAACTTTTTTTATAAACAAACTCAGGAACAACAAAATAAAAAATTAGATTTCGAGTGTGGCCAGATTTTTTTTACTTTTATAAGGGGACGTGTTTGGGATCGCCCATAAAAAATAAAGCACATTTTTGCTCTGTGTATTTTAGTTTATGAGTAACGAGTAAAAATCCAACCTTCTTTTTGGCTCTCGCAAAACACAAGTTGTCTAGGCGTGTCCTTTAGTCGCTTATGTCCGTTTTCGATACCAATCTGCCTATAAGAGTTTGTTATAAATTTACGAAATTTGAAACCAATGCCCAAATTTTTGGAATCGGAAGTTTGCTTATCATTGATATCCGATGCGTGGACATGGGTGGAGAATGATTCAGAAATTGATATTATCCAAAAAAAAAAAAAAAAAAATAGTTTATAGGGCCGTGAAGCTCCTTTTTTGGTTTTGAAACGTTTCGACAAAATAAACATATTTCGACAATCTCGGCGATAGGTGTGACAAGTTAGAAAGTCATATTCGGCTGTGATTGTATCTTTTACTTTTATCGTTTTTAATACTTTCTAATATATGTGGTGGACGGGGTCGTGTATTTGGAATATGATACCAATACGATGCGGCGAATAAGTAGCCCGGAAATTTGTTGCGTATTTTCCCGTCATCAAGCTAAAGAAACTTTTTTCACTAAGCATGACAGATCATTGGGGTTAAAGGCACATATAGTTATGTATGGAAATTTTTCAGTGAAAGCTTTACCAGATGAGAACACATAACCATTCGTGAGGTTGTGGAAAAGGTGGAATTAGTGCCAGTGCTGGCATTGAACCATCAGATTAGCATTCCCTTCCTTCTCTGTAAAATTTTTCCTCTGTCAAAACCTTCAATTCAGATGAAAGATTGCAAGTTCATATATAGAATATTCTTTTTGCTGCAAAAGATCAGAAATTTGATGAGGAGGGGACAGTGGAATTGCTGGGAAAGTGTCGACGCATTATTGAGCAAAATGACAAACATATATATATATATACATAACTTAATAAAGTTTGTTCCTTATGTAAAAAAGAATTTACTTTATTTCATAGTGACAAAGCGCACGAAATTTCTTCTTCTTCTGTAAAAATAGTGCGTAAAGAAACGTGTAACGCGTGCGCGTGTTCAACTTTTTCTAATTCATCTTAATCCTCATGTGTAAAATGTATAGAAAAATTTTCCACATTCTGTCTAGTTCACCTTGCGAGTAATAAGAGTGAAAAAATGACCATCTGAGCACTTATAACTTTAGAAGGGCGTGGCCGATTTTTCTCATTTTTGAATACGAATAATAATTTCTTCCACATGATGAATTTCAAAAATATTACCTTTGTCTCTTTGATGATTTGTCAGGAATGAGCAATGTCCACACACATTTTTGCTTAGCGAAGCAGAGATGCTATCAAATTATCTTTTACTGTGAGCCTTTCCTTCAAACGATTTAGCCCATTTACAGTAGCAAACTGCGTGGAAGGCATTTCCGAAGTTTCTAATAAATTTAAAGTCGGTATCCTACGTTTTACGATGAGGAGAATGTCATCAGGCCAGCAGACTTACAGACGGACAGAATTTGACACTGATCAAGGGCTTACATATGCGTTACATATACTATTAGTTTATAAGGTATAGTGATGCGGGTTTCCTTCTCTTTTTATTTTTTTTTTTGAATGGAATGGAATTTGAATGTCACTCAAACAAAAATACACGCCAATGGATTCGTCAACAGTCATCCTACACTTGTATTTTTCATTGCATGCACCTCTTGAACGCTGTATTATGTGCTTTGCAAGACCTGCAAAGCTCCGATGGGCTAGAGGAGTGTGAAGATAAATACGAATTTAATTAGCAAAGACAGAGTGGAGCTATGTGGTGCTGGTCAAATTCGAGAAGCAGATGCAGGCAATCAAGAAATTCCAACGATATTCGTTTGCCGTCTTCTTAATATGTAATTTTCAGAAGTTTGGTAAAATTAGTTTCGAAAAGCGGAATTTGAATTTGTTTATAGATTTGTGAGGTGTCGACAAAAATACCTCAACTGTCCTAATTTAGACGGAGTAGGCTTCTAAGTCCAAACATATCTTAATTCTCTTAGCTCTGAGCGCGGAGACCTCTGTTAAGGTAGTTGGCAGATGTCTTTGTTAGTTAAATTCGAATTAGTCTTCGAAAACCGTTCCACTGGAATGTCAAAGCAACAGAATGTATAATGGATTTCGATGAGAGTATGTATGTATGTATGCAGTGCGACCAAGAAAATATTTTGTAATTAATAAATGCCAGTATTTGCCCCCAAGTGAATGTAATTTTTTCACACGCTTTACCTAAACTCACCTGCGTTGTATTTGTTGCAGTGTGACCGTTGTGGGGGTTGTGGTTGTTATTGTTGCTGCCATTGCTGCTACTGTTGCTGCTGCTGCTACTGCTGCTGTTGCTGCTGCTGCTGCTATTATTATTACCATTATTATTATTATTGTTACCATTATTTTGTGATATTGTATGATGTTGTTGTTGTTGTTGTTGTTGCTGTTGTTGTAAAGGGCTATTGGTATTACTATTATTATGACTATGAGCAGGACTGCTGTTGTTATGATTATTAAATTCCATTGAAACGGATTCGCTGAGATTTTTAAATACAACTTTTGCTTGTTGCGTTTGTGAGTGATTTTGATAATTTGTTAGGGGACATGAATCAATTAAAAATGAAAGATCAGAGAAATCGTTACTGAGATTATTGTAATGCGCTGTAGGAGCAGCAAATAGCGAAAGAGCCATGAGAATGGCTCTTGAAAATTTTACTTCTTTTTCCACGCCAGTTGTTCACAGATATCACAAAGTACACGATCAATATGTTACGAGTCGACTTGCAACCTGAAGATGTTATAGTAACGTAGTAGAAGTAGTAGTAGTAGTAGTAGTAGTAGAATTCGTATATAGCTACGTAATTTTGTTAAGACGACGCGAGCACGAAAATTTTAGTTTTTCCCTCTTATTTTTATTGCGTTTCCTTTGTGAAGAAACTTTTTCTTTTTTAAAGATCTTAGAGGTTAACGAATGGTTGTTAAGAAATTTCCTGATTTATTTTTAATTATTTTTTTTTTGTTTTTTTGTTTTTTTTTTTTTTTTTTAAAAAATAAATCACAAAAAGTTTTCAAGATTCACATATTTTTTGTTTTTTTTTTTGCTTATAATTAATTATATTACGTTTTAATTATTTGTAACGGTTTTAAAGTTCTTTGAATGTTTTTAACAAATAGTTTTTATAGATACTTTTTATTGTTTCTTTCGCTTTAATAAATAAATTAAAACAGGACAAAAAACGAATTATATAATTTCTTAATTCCGGTGGTCTCACGTTGACGATGACTACGCAACAGTGTATTTTCAACTTTTAACAGCATCTTGTTGATCAGGCACATATAACTTTCAGGATACTCATTGGATGACGACGGCTTTAATACTAAGGAGCGACGTTCAATTTTCTCCATTTATTTGAAATGTTTTATCAGTGATTCTGCCACAATACAGAATTGATTTGAATGCAATGATTTTTGAGTACGAAGCCGTTTTGAAGTCTTTTTTTTTATTTATTTATTTTTTTTCGTATTTAAACACAAGCAGCAACACAAATTTTAATTAAGTTTTTTTTTTTTTAGTTTTTTTTTTAATAGGTTTACTTTATGTTTTATTGTTTTCAAGTTTGGTTGGTTGACCTCTTTGAGAAGAAAAAAAATGTAATTAAGGATTTAAAAGTACTTCTTTATGTATTAATTTTTTTTTTAAATATTAATTTAAACTAATAATATTCAAAGGAATGCACAAATATAAGATACATGTACATATATACATATATATATATATATATATCGTATGTATATACTTTTTTAATTTTGTTGTTAAACAATCTCAGGTCACGTTTTGTGTGTGTTTTTTTGTTTTGTTTCTATATTCTTTTAGGTTTTAGTTTTTGTTTGTATTAAGAATTTTAGGAGATTGTTTTCTCACATAGTTTTTGAATAACTTTTTTTGCAAATTGTTAATCTTTATTTAAATTTTTTTTTGCTCTTTTGTTTTTTGTTTTTTTATCTGCAAACAGGTTTCTTGACACTTGGATAATTTCAAGTTTTTTTTTTTCTTTTTTTTTTTTACATTAATAAACAATTCTTTTTCGTTTGTTTTGTTTTTATGCTTGCACTGACACAATTTCCTTTTTTTTTATTATTATTATATATTTATTTTTATTGTTGTCGATATTTATTTAAATTTAATGATTTTTTTATTTATGTGTTTTTTTTTTTATTTATTTATTTATTTATTTTTTTTATTAAAGTTGATTACACGTTAGTGGAGCAATTTTAATACAACGAAGCAAGGCTTCGCACTTCGAAAGGAGACCAGCATCTTAGCAGAACCTTGGTTTTGTAACCACCGCCAGCAGCAACAAAATTCCTTTAAAATTGTTACAATATGTTGCAAGTCAACTTCAAAAAACGAATGAGAGAACGAATATTCATCAATGAACGCAACAGCTGCATACAGCTTGAAAAATAATTTGCCTTTTTATTTATTTATTTTTTATTAAATTCTCTTACTGTATCTTGAAGATATTTTTCTTCTTTTTTTTTTTATTTTTTTCTTTTTTTTATTATTATTTGTTTGTTTGTTTTAAGATAACTAACTAACTGACTGACTAACTAACTAGCTGTGTTCGTAGTTATAGAATGTATATTAGTTGTAAGAAAAAAAGCAATAATAACAACACCAATAGACGACAATAATATGTAATGTAAATATAAAGCGTAGATTGATCGCCAGTTATGCGCTCTGCGTTTAATAATTTCCAGCAACGTTCAAATGAGATGACGGTATTTATTTGTTTTTTTTTTAGTATATCACTGCTTGTGATTCTTTTTCTCCCTCTCTCTCTCTCTCTCTCTCTCTCTCTCTCTCTCTCTTTCGCTTACTCTCTCAACTCAATATTGAAAAGATGTGAACAAACTGTTACACAAGCCCATCATCATCATACGTTCGCATAGAGTTCTTATAGTTTTTCTTTATTTTCCTCAAGGGCACTAATGGTTTTAGAAAAGTTTTCTTTTCCTTTATTTTTCAATTACTAACCCTTAAGAATTATTTGCATAATATATTGCCCTCCTTGCTTGTTTGTTTATTTCATATATGATTTGATTTTAGTTATTAAGGTTTTTTCTTTACTTTTTCGCGTATATTCATTAAGAACAATTATATTTGAAAGACATGTGTTTTGCTTTCTATTTCACTCTTAGAGGTTCTTATTCGCTCTCTTTTAAAAGTGAGCTGATCAACTAACTGTATTGATATTTCGTTTGTAATTCACTGATAACTTTCGTTCGTTTCTTTCCTTCTTTAACGATGATCGCAAAATTACATTACATATGTTTTATTACAATTCTGCCCCGCTTTCTGCCGCAAGCCATTAGGCTCTTTGTTGCTTTCTTTCTCTCTCTCCCTCTCTCTCTCTGTCTCTCTCGCTTTCTGTCTTTCTTCAGTTGGAAGATCTTTTAATTAATGTTCTCCACAAACAAGTTATTTTTTTTTTTTTTATTAATCAATTGCTTTGCAATAAAATTATAATAAATTTGAATCAATTCTATTAACATTTATATATCTTTATATATACATCTATGTATATATATATATATATCTGTGAATGTCTGAAAAATAGTTTTTTATTGAGTATATATGTAAAGAAAAATAAAAAAAATAAAAAAACAAGAAATAAGCGTTGAAAACAACAAATAAAGAAAAACAAAAAAAAAAAAAAGAAAAGAGTAAAAATAATTAATGACTGACGTTCTTTTTTAATCTTTCCATTAACGGTTTGAATTTCAAAAGCAAACACTACTCAACTGATATTTTTAAGCATTTGTTTTGTTTCTGCTGTTTTGCCCAAGCATGTAGATACACATACGCGCGCGCGCGCACACACATACACACACATATATATATATATATATATATATATACACAAAAACACATAAATACATACACACACTCACACACATGCACATCCATACACAAACACCGATTAATGAAATTCAAATTTTTACACGTTAAACCAAATTCAAAATCCTAGCGTACGAAGCGTTTAAAAAAAGCGTTGCAAGCGCGTATAAATACTGACTGATTATATGAGTTATTGAAAATACCCCAACAAGTTAATAAGTTGTTGCTTAACTTAACGAACTGAACTGAACTGAAAATCAAAATCAAAGAGAGTATGAGATAACAAGCGATTGAAGATTATTATTTATAAGCGCAATATATATCGCACAACAACAAAATAAATAAAGTTTGAGTTGAACTTAATTTGGAGGAGAAAATATAACAGATTAGAAGAGTTCATAGAGAGCAGGAAATTGATAGAGAGAAAAAGAGAGAGAAAGAGAGAGAAAAAAAGAGAGAAAGAGAGAGAGAAAGAGAAAACTTAAATGTGTTTATAGTTACAAATAACTTTTGCTCTAAGTAATTACGATCTGTATGATCTGCATGATCTGCTGAGCAGCGCCGACCGATCATAAGGTCGAAAATACATCAGATTCCCTGCCACTATTCAACGATATCTGTTAGAATCACACAAACACACACAAGACGCATTACTAGGCGTCAAATATATTTGGGTTGAGAAGCAAAAGCAAGAAAGCAAGAAAGCAAAGCTGAGTAAACTTATCATCGAACTTAAAGCTCTTTTAAGGAACAAGCACTCGGAGTGAAGCCGCCAATAATTTCTTGTAGAGACAGCTCTCTAAGGCAGGAAGGCAGAGAGCAAGAGAGAGCGTGAGAGAGTGAGAGAGAAAGAGAGAGAAAGAGAGAGAGAGAGAGAGAGAGAGAGAGAGAGAAAGGTCTTTAAAGTTTTGCTCTAAATTTTGCTTTAAGCAAAAGCGACCTGCATGATCTGCTGATCAAACTTGTAGGCTACTTAGGGAATGGGTTATTGAATTTTTATGTCGGTATTCAAAATTTATTCGACTGCCTAAGGGAGCACTGTCCAACGATATTTATTACGGCCACACACACACACACACACACACACACAAGCAAGAAAGGAACCAAAATTAAGCTCAGTAAGCTTGTCATCGAGCTTAAAAACCTTTTAATGAACAAGCACTCCGTGTGAAGCCACCAATAATTCCTTGTAGAGACAGCTCTCTATGGCAGGAAGGCAGAGAGCGGGAGATAGACAGAGGGAGAGCGAGAGAGAAAGAGAGAAAGCGTAAAACAGCGTGAGAGAGATCAACATTTTACCAAATAACGCTGACTATATCACCATAATTATATATAAATATGACAATGATGTCTTAGGTTAATTAAGCTCATGTTTGCTTGTAGATGCTTGCATAAAAACTAATTGCTGTTGTGAAGCCATCAATTTGGTTTTAAAAAAGAATACCGATCGATACACGTTTCAAAAGATGATTGATGGAAGAGATGCTCTGTCATGGCAAAACGTAAGGGTACGTCCTGTAGATCAAATTAAAAAAGTTCCATCACTTATGCACAAACAACTTGCGATAATTAAGTGTACGTTTCACCGAATATTATACGTTACAAACGAATATCATTTTCGTGAATATACAATAGGCCTGATAAGGTAAGGCGATGAACTTTGCATTACCCAGCTCTCAAAAAGATTTGCTTGGGAAAACCAAAAAAGAAAAAGGACGATTTTAAGGATGTGCGTCTTTCAGATTTACTTAGTTTAAGTTAACGAAATTTTCGACAAATAATTCTTCTGATAATTCTTAGCAATTGATGATGAAATGATGAAATAATTCATCAATGGTCAATAATACGACAGACTAACAAACATGATCGATTTAAAAATGATTATTTGCCCAATTGATCAAGATACTACAAGTCCTTATAGCAAGTCAAACTTTTAATAAGTTTCCTATACCAGCTTTTAACTCAGATGTCAAATCGGTATGATCGCTTCAACTAGGTGGGCATATTGTCGTTCAAGGCACTACTAGCATTTCCATCTTTTTTAGTGAGGAAAATCACACTGTCAACAAACAATGCTTCCTTTCTAGATTCATTGGGTACAAAAAGAAATTCAAAAATTCTAGCTTTTTTTCCTCCTTTGCTTAAAGCTAAGTTATATCGCAAACACATGGATTATTAAGTTACTTCCTTTCTTCTTTTTGGCCTGCTACTGTTTTGGATGAACACAAACGTGAAGAAGGACTTCTTCGATTCGCGTATTATGTATTACAGGTGGATCGATTGCATATGCATCACAGTTAATCCCGTACGCGAGAATAAGATAAAGCAATTCTGAGGAACAAACGAGACAACGAATGCCGCTACTTAGTATTCAGGAGATAACATTAGCGTCAGAAGGATCGTATTTTTTTGTGATGGAATAAAAGCGTTTTATAGACCAGCAATGCTTGAAGAGATACTGAACAAAAATGATTATTGAAAAATATCAGAAAAATTGTAGAATCGAAGGTGTTCTCCTAAAGATGCTCCGTCTTTAACTCTTTTTTGAAGCAAAATTGAAAAAAGGAGAAGAAAGCGTATGCCGGAAGTATTTGGTGGGCCATTTTGGAGGTTCGTCTGTCCATCTGTCCGCCTGTGTAATGTCTGCGGTAAAAGTT